TTTGGGAGATAAAAAGTAATGGAGTGTTTACAGTAAAATCTGCATATCAAAGGGAACCGGTGTTAAAAGAGATTTGGAAGCGGCCAATTCTGTAAACATTCAAGCTTTTCTTTAGGTAGCTATTTAAAGTAAAGTTTTCACTATTGATAATTTGAAGAAGATACGAAATATTTTGTTGATCGTGTGCTTAATGTGCAAGGAGGATAAAGAAATAGGAGATCATCTTTTGTTGTTGAATACTATTTTGCTTCTCAACTTTGGAAATGACCATTCATTAAGATAGGTTGTTCCTTGATGCTTCCAAGTAGTCATAAATATATTTGCAGCATCTACATATTTCAGTACATAATACAGGTGTTGTTATTTGGAAGATTTACCAAACTGCAATCCTTTGAGAGATATAGAAAAAGAGGAATGGGCGACTTTTGATGAGATGCAATTGGATGTCGAGAGAGTAAGAGCCAAAATCACTCATTCTTTGTGGATGAAGTTATCTGATACAAAGGGATGGAAAATTTCTCATTCTAAAATTGTTTGTGATCTGAAAGACATTTTTATTTAGTATTGCCATAAAAGCAAAGCAGTTGGAAGGCAGTTTCCACCATCAATGGGTAATGTTTAGCTTAGTTGATGGGAGTTCTCTAAGCATCCCTGGTCCAGCAGGTATTGGCAGCACTCTAAGGGATGATAAAAGATTTGAGAATTTTAGTTATGCCGGCCTTTGTGGGGTAAATACAACTAATATTGCCAAGCTTAAGGCTCTTTTACAGGTCTACTGATTATCCAAGAGAAGGAAACCACCGAATTGCTGATGGTGGAAGGGAATTATATGAATGTTATTAGATGGTGCAATAATGAGCAAGATGTGCCTTGGAATTTAAAGTTTTAGTGGCTGCACATAATGAATCTTAGCTCTTCTTCTCTTGTACTTGTTTCACATGTATATAAAGAGGTAAACTTTGTGGCAGGTGGGTTAGCGAAAAGGGGGTGTCTCTACTCGCCTTATTGCTTCTGATGTTTCTCTCTTTGATCCGTAAAATGTAACTCCCTGACCATCATTACTAAAAACTTTTAACATGTCAAAAAAAAATACCATAGACACTCAAACTACCAATTTTCTTTTTTGTAAAAAAAAAAAAAGAAGTTCAAAAGGCTAAACCAATAATACGGATTGGACCGCCTATTGAGCTAGTAACGGTTTTAGTCCAGTCAAAACAAGTCAACCGCCACTTGGACTGAATTTTAGAGAAAAGAAAAATAAAAGTAGTTAGAATATTTAAATAACATAATTCTACCAACTTCGTTTAGCTCATCGAACAAGCTAGAACCGACTGGGCCAACCGCCCAAAATCAGTCATTGATTTTGTCCAACTTTTTACCAAATGAGTTTTTTGCTTTGGACCAAACCAAACCAGTCAATAGTCTGACCATCCGATATTAATAACTATGGGCTGAACTTGCTAAACACAAAGGAGACCTTCAAGGAAAAATAGAAAAGAAAAGCCAAATTCAAAAGAAAATAAGGAAAGCAAGGCTACATGAGAACCATCAACTAACAGACTATGGTCCTACATAACAATTGAGCAGAAGAACCTACAACGATCGTCAGCCCTGAAAATGATATTTATTTATTTACATCAAATCCAGGAGATGACATTGATGCCCTTTTCATCACGCAAAGAGGAGCCAAAATCTAGTGGGAGCAATGCATCGCCGCCATAATGCAATCAACTTCCACACCACCATGCGCCAAATATATATCCCATTAGAAACAAGTCCTCCAATCCTCAATATAGAAACACTGAATTTGTTTCCCCTCTCCATATTAGAATCTGCAAAAGTGAATCTAACACTCAAATTTAAGATTCGCAAGAGAAAAGAGGAAAAAGGAAAAAAAAACAAAACTTATCTTAGTAATTTAGATGTTTGAAGACAATTTCTATGAGTCCTCGGACTCAGAAATGCGGCCCCCATTAGTAATCTACTCTCGATATAGATTTTGACCCTAATTTTTAAGGAACATTGAATTCCTAACATGGAAATCAGTCATGGTTAAAAATATTAAATTTTAAGAACTTAAATAATATTTTTGAAGGAATTTATTTAAACATTGATTGTTAACTCTCTTTCTTTTTTTTTGAGCAACATCATTTACATCCATCTTTGGATGAATGGTTTATGCCTCAGGTGGAAGTAAATGTAGGAATGCATCCCCCAACGCATATAACACTTTTCCTTTTACAGGAAGGGCATACACTGAGACATTAGAACTCCAGAAAAGACCAAAACATCAGGGATGTCAACAAGCCAACCAGCTCACAGGGGGCTTCGGCTTGGCTCATGATGAACCAAGCATAAGCAATACTCTTCATTCTATAAGATAGGCGAAGCATAGCTCACTAGCTCATTTATTAAACAATTCACCTCTCAAGTTTAGAAAAGCTCCGAAGCTTGTCTAGGATATATTATACATAAAGCGAATTATCCATCTACGTCTATTTTATTAGCCTCTACTCAAATTTAATTTAATACTTTTTTTGTGCTTGACTTCTTGATAGAGTTGCAATTCAGCATTTTTACAGCTTGATGGGGTTCATTCATGAGTTTTTTAAGTAAAATGAGTCAAGCCAATCGAAGCTCAGGCTTGAAGGTTCAAGCTCAAGCTAGTCCACCCATGCAAGCCAAATTTGAATATGTCCATGTTGGACACAGCTCACCTAGTTGACAGTTGACACCCCTACCAAAAGAAGCAATATCATTCTACTCAAGAGAGAGAGAGATTGTTTGTAGGGGATTTTGATTCTTTTTTAGAAAACCGGGCTACTTTTGTGCCTTGATCACCCTTCTGTAATATCAGATTGTATTTCTAAATCATTATTTGAATCTCTCTGCAATTACTATGACCTCAAAATCAGTGGCACCAATCAATACCTGAGCAATGCAAATTTGATGAACCGATAGCATTTGCCTTCAAATAAGTAGTGGTATACACTTTGCTCTTGAGAGCTATGTTCTCCATTGTCAACTGCAACCATGGGCATCAGAAAACAAAGGGAAAAAAACAATAATCACAGATTAGCAGTCCTACATGAAAATGCAGGACCAAAATTCCACAAGTGAAAAGTCCAAGGACAATGCGCAATAAATAAATCAGTTACACAGTTTGTTCATATATGTATCATGGACAGGTAATCAACCAGTCACTTTTAAGCTATGTAACAATAACACATGTATTGTATGCTTTTTCAACATGCCAACCCACTAGACATGTTTCCACATACAAGACACACAGGAAATCCTTGTTCACATGAATATTCAGAATTTTCATTATTTGGATTTGCAGATAAGACATATCTACTTTGGATTCACAAATGCAACTTATCTGCTCTATGGATACATAGGTCCACAGATTAGGCACGCAACACAGTTTCTCCGTTTTATAAAACATGCGTGTCCTAATTGTAAGACAAGCATGTCCTTTCACAAGACACTGTGCCCACACGATCAGGCATACATGTATATGATTTACCCACATGGTTAATAAAAAATCACAGAGTATATATACGTGAGGGTTGATTCCATGCAATGGTTTACAGAAATACAATGAAAGACACCTTCAAAATCATGTTAGGAGTATTTGTTTGACATCAATTTTTAAACACGCACTTTGCATTCTAATATACAATTTCAAAAAATAAAATTTGATAGCAAAAAAACTGTTTTTTTCCCTTAATGAACATAACCCATCCATTTGATGGGGCAATTAGATCTAATAAGCCTTAAAAGGAACTTTTTTGTTTATTAAAATTTTTATAGATGGCCATCGTCATTAGATGAACTTTAAGGAATAAAATTTTACTTAATGGCCAAGACCTCAATATCTACAAATGGATGGCCCAGATTTATCGTTTGAGGGGGAGTCATTTGACTTTTTCTAAGGTGAACAATCATTTTTTATTGTTGAGATGAAAGTGGTCATACAAATGCAACAAACTTGGTTTTTTAAACGAACGGTTTCATGATATTATTGAAGTGCCAACACTAAAGCACTCCCCTAAAAGAGGATCAAAATTCAAACAGTAACATACACTCTAAGTCTCAATTGTCCAAAGATCTTATGATTAGGAATATAACTGAAATTACAATCATTTTGGGTGACAATCTAGCGGTAGCTTTTTTGATGTGTGTAATGTTCAGACTTGTTGTACTAGAGTTGGCAACATATAGGTAGGTGAGTCAGATTCTTTGAATCCAAATTAGACATGCATCTTATATCAATAGCTTTTAATGTCAAACAAAATTTATTATCTAATATGTAACAGAGACTAAACATTACTTGTAATAAACAGTTAATAAATGGCTAGATTTGTTAGACCATTGAGCAGTAGTAATTCAACCATAGTACCTCATATTGTGGTAAAAGCAAAACACAATAACCTTGCTTGACTAACTACAGAAACACCTCATCAAAGTCGCTATCTCCAATTTATGAAACAATAATTCATATTTCTATTATAGTACAATACAAGAATAAAAAATGGAAACACTAGAACTCCCTGATATACCAATGCTAGGATCATGTCTCATCACCTCTAGCCTCAATGTATGTGGAAATATTCGAGAGACTCTTGTGGGAATATTAGAACCAAGTGCAAACTAACTAGGGCTCCTGTTACAAAAAAAGTTTCTTGCTTTCCGAAACCAATTAGAATCAATGTTCAAAAAGGCAGAGGTAGCAGCCTAGGGGGACTCCCCCAGGGAAGGTGGAGGGTGGAGGCATATGCAACTGTGCAAGGCCTTACATCAAACAGGTAAAGGTCATCTTCTTTTTTCTTATCTTATAAATGGAGTGTGAGAGAGCATTGTTTTAAAATGCAGCTGCATAATGCGCTAGGTGCCCCAAAGTGCATCGCATACAAACACTTATGCGCTTTGGTGGGATACACCCACATATACGTCGCATCCCACCGCAATATGCGATCGCATAGCGCATATGCACCGCATAGCTCATAGCCAAAAAATTATCAATTTGTTCTAGGTGTTGGTTGGGTTTTTTATTGGGATTAGCTTGGGCAATGTTTTGAAGAAGTTTGAGCAAAGATTCGTCAACGTACCGAGGGTTTCAAGGCCCGATAAGACGTCTTCTAAGTTCTAATGTGATGTGTTTTCAGATGTTTATGAATTATGATAATTTGATTTTTTCTAAGTTCTAATGTCTTTTATAAAGTTAGTTTCAAGCTTCTTGTTTTTACTTTCTATTTCAAATATCTTCTATCGGGGGATTCAGAATCTCCAACTGCTGATAATACTGGAGTTAATGAAGAAATTAAATACCTACTATCACATAAATTACCTCCATATATTTTTCCATACCTTAACCTATTTGTTGATATTTTTTTGAATTCTTTTATATTTATTGACTGCATTGGAATGATGCACCCACATTTGGACCGTATAGAGCCGATCGTCATCCCCCGTTATCGCATTGGGACTGCATCCTGCATTTTATAACATTGTGAGAGAGAGTATATGGGCTCATATTTGAAAGTGAGGTCTCCTATCGAACACTTGGACATGTTCAACTTTGACTTCTGGGAAGGAGAGGGAGATAATATGAGTCTATGGGAGGGGGCCCTTGAATCAAACACTTGGAGGTTATCATCTCCATTTTCTTCCTCTTATATATAGAGAAAGCATATGGATCCACATGTGTGTGTGTATGTGAGAGAGAGAGAGAGAGAGCACATGTGCCCATGAGCAAGAGAAGAATGGCCTTAACTATTTTTATAGTCCTTAACTATTCTTTTATTTTTTAAGACGCATACTTTTTCTAAAAAAAGGGGGGTGGCACTAGGCACATAGGGTTTGGAGGGGCTAGAATGACCCCAATTCCCCCCTTTCTAGGTGGGAAGAGTACTTTTTCTCCTTGGGCCGAGGGCGTTTTTTCTGCCCTTGCCAAGTTGCATCCAGGCTCTACCTAGGTGCCCGCCTCTTTGGTGCCTAGACAGGCTCCTAGGAGGACATCTGCCTAGGGTACCGCCAAGGCCCCGCCTTAAGGCTAAGGCCTAGGAGCACATCCGCAACACCCACCTAGGGCACGCCCAAGCGGCCGAATTTTTCAATCTTGACTACAATATCCCCGTTTAAATCTGATTCGTACAATTTATCATCCGTTAAAACAGGAGGTATTGACCTTCAATAGCTTCATGATGACAGCTTCGTTTTCAATCTCTTATCTTCATATTTTCCTCTAAATTTTTTTTACTATAAATATATGTATTTCCAATGATTTTGTTATTGATTTCAACCATAATTTTACTTTTGTCTTGACAATTGACATTTGACATGACCAAATACTTTAAGACAACGCCACTCTAAAACTCTCATGCATCAAAAACTAATTCTCTTGCATGGCCAAACTACAAAAAATTGGATCACCTGAAGGGATAGGGTTCACCAACAACTCTTATTATGGAATTTGATCTTCGTCGCATTCGAGGTTTTTATAAACCAAGCTTCAGAACGCTTTCTTTTTTTTTATAAGAAAAACTGTGCATTTCCTTTTTGATCTATGCAGCAAACACATGAACTTATAAAGATCTATTGCATCTTCTCTTACAATAAACATGGATCCCTTTAGAAATTTATTTTCAAAGCTCTGGAGAACAACACAACAGGACTTCATCCTCCTATTTCCAGATAACTAACTTTGCATTCTGAAAAATTCACATAATGACTACCAACTACAGTCAATTGAAACCTATTAGTTTCTAGTTATGCCCAAATATTTTGTCTCCATGATTTCATGTTTGAGCAAGTGATGCACCTAACTTCTCCAAATTGTTTGGTCAACTCTTCAAACCAACAATGGATTCCGAATTACAAACTTCTCAAAAGTGTGCACATAATTGATCAAACATGCTCATATATTCAGTAAATCAACATTGCAATGTTTGGAAATAAATGATATGGTTCACAGAAGAAACACTAGATTCTGCAGGGGGAACACTTTGGAACAAATCAAACAATATTGAAACTAATAGAAACTCATATCAAGAAGTCTAGTTTAATGCAACACCTAAAATATGCAAAGGGCCACCACTTCAGATTCCTTATCAAAAAAAAATAAACCTACATAGCCCTATGGAGACTAGATTGCAAGAATCATAAGTGCAATCTACCAAGATCATCAAGAACTTTTATCATCTTCTACCCTAATCTAAAAGGAAACATTTGAAAAATTCTGGATAGCAATAAGATGCCAAAGCAACTGTGTTAAGAGTTCAAACTAAGACACATACAGAACCCCATGCCTATCAACAATCATTGTATTGTTCCAACATACTCCAATAAGGTGGTACCACCCTTGGGTAGGATACAAACTACAAACAAAAGGAGATGGCATTATCTTGCTCCTACAACAAGCTGACAATGGTCCAGATTGCTCCCTTAAAAAAGGATGGTATTGGAATAGTCCAGATTGCTCCCTCAAAAGATTTGATCACTTTGATAGCAAACCAGTTTCAACTCCTTTTGATGCTCACATCAAACTCAAAAAGAAGCGCGATGGTCTTGTTTCCCAATTGCATTATGCTAGAGTCATTAGATGTATAATTTATTCAGTGTCATGTACTAGACCTGATATAGCCAAGTAAACTGAGTAGATAGACTAGTAACCTAAGTCAAGAGCATTGAAATGCGGTCTATAGGGTTCTGAGATATCTTGATAGAACTATAGACTGTGGCTTACACGATGTGGGTGAGCCGGCTCTATTGGAAGAGTACATTGAGGCAAACTAGATTACAGATTCAGATGAATCTATGTCTGCTAGCATATGGATATTCGTTTCTGTTGGGGGTGTTGTTGCTTGGGGTTCTAAGAACACTAATAAATGTTGGCATTTTGTAGCCATTTAAAGGCCTTATGAGAGCATGTACTAAAAACATTATAGTAAAATGTTGGCTCCAGTGGGAGTGTAGTCCACTTTGGACTATGAGACACTGTTAGTGCCACGACTCATCTGA